CATTGTAATTTTGTATTGGCTTTAAACCTTAATAGTATCTTCCTTCTTTAAAGAAAAAAAATGGTTTATCATATTCAAATATGTGTGGTTTAAACTGTTCAACTTAGTTTATTAATTTCTCCCTCCTACTTTTACATATTTAATGCTTTTGACTTTGCCTTGCCCCACCTCTTGTAGGTTTGGTAACAGACAGGTAGCAACTTTCTCTCTGGGTGTTGATTTGTTGGTTGTTTGGGGTTTTTTAATAGTTGGCTAAGTCACTTCAGTTTATGCCTTTCATTTTATCTCTCTGTAGCATAGCCTAATATGGATAAATGTTAAGTAACTATCACAGTAAATGAAACATCCTGTTAACTGGATTTCTGAGTAGTTAACTCCTAATAGCTCTTTGTCACCAAACTCAGGATCTCTGACCTCCCTGGTGTCACCCATTCTAATGTTCCTCCTGCTCTTCCCTTGCTTTTTCTCTTGCTCACCTTCATTTGTCTTGTTCCCTCCTTTCTCCTGCAAGCTCTCTTTCCTCCCATTTCTCTGGTTCTTCACATCTTTTGGCAGTAAAGAGGAGGGCAGGTTGGTGGGCATCTGGGAACACAGCTGTACTAATTGTCCCTATTTGCTGTGCAGCATTTCTTCCATGGTCCTTCTTTGCAAAATTCCCGTGCAATATTGTCAGTTCCCTCATTCTCACCTTGACTTTCATGAAAGAAATATTTGGAGCAGTTAGAAAGCAAGAGAAGAAAATGTGCTGATTTCCTTTGCACAATGCCTAGGATTTACAAGGTCAGTACATGAAATGGAGCAGCTTTCAGAGCCGGGAAGTAAATGGTTCCTGAAATATGTACTGAGCTGGGCATTTTTAATCCTCAACATGAAGCGGTGGACAGTGGTGCTGAGCATACCCACACCAGTGCAAAAATACATTTTTAAAACTGCACTATAGCAAAAGAAATAATGATTTTTGGCTGACAGAATCTTAGCCCAAAAAGGAAACCTGAAAAAAGACATGAAAAAGGCTCGGAGCTAAATACTCTCACACTTTAGAAAGTCAGAAGTAAGGAACAGAAAGAAAACACTTGATGATACAGCTTTTAGTGAGATTTTGGAATGTAATGGTGAAACTGTGTACTGCTGTAATGTGACATGCTTATTTGCAGGCGTTAACACATATGAAGACAGAATTTTGGGTTATTGTATTATTATGTACAACTGTGTGGCTAATTTGCATGCAAGATTTCTATGATTAATAAATTATGCAATGCTAGTACAAATGCAATCACCAGCACTCTAGCAGGCAACATTAAATACTATGCTCTGCTCCAGTAAAGCTTTGAATATTTGAATATCAGTTTGCCTTGCCCAAGCTGCAAAGTGATCAAAGGAGGGGAAGAATGTTCCTTGCTTTTATCCCTCTTACAGGAGAATCAGAATAGTCACCAGATAGATGCCTTGTGTAGAAATGTCAAAATCAACTGAAAAAAAATAAACCAAGATTATTTACTGAAATCACTTGACTGAAGGTGTAACACAGCTGTTTATAAAAAGCAAGATATATGTTTTCAAGTTCTAAAGTTTTGTATTTAACAGTTTGAGTAAAAGGAACTTATCCAAGATGCATAGAACAGCATACTCTTAATACTGGGATAAATCAGTTTAAAAAGCATAAAGATAAGCATACAATGGGCCTGCATTAAAAGATTGTATTATGAGATGGCTCCTGTCTGAGACAAAGATCTGAAAGTGCTACAACTGATTTCTGAGAACATATGCACCTTCTTTTACTGCATTCTTGCCAAATTCATAAGGATTATGAGAAAATTCAGCAGATTAGGCCTTTAATCTGGTATCTCCAATCTAAACCAAAAAGTGTCAGATATGGCTAAGATACTCAGGTTATCAGGGTGTCTGGAAAACACTGAAATTGTAGCTTGAAATTTCAGATCAGGCTCTCTGCCTTGTGCTATGAAGAATTTATTCCTTGCTACAAGGGTTTATTTTCCCACTTTGCCTAAACTAAATTTCTGTTCATCTCTCTAATCTTTAAATTCCTGTCTTTTTAAGAAATCTCTTGTGAAATTAAAGAGCTGCATCATATTCTTGCATCACATTCTGAGCACAGTTAGGCTTTGGCTTGCACCAAGCTTTTAGAAGACGCTGCCAGCACTACTCTGTCTCCCGAACATTTTACCCAGGGCATAGGCAGCTTGCATGTTCTGAAGCAATTACTATACTAAGCACCCAGTGATGTATCTTTCCCAGAAACTGAAAATAAAGGTATAAAAGATCCACACAATAATTTATGGGTGTTAACATATGGGTGTAAGTTTCTCTGGGGGTAATTATGTGACTATGCAACAACGCCAAGGATGCTTTGATACATTAAAACAAATTCTCACAATGATGCTTTTCATTACTGTCAGGAGTGTATATATTTAAACAGGAGAGAGGGATGAGAGAGGCCCATATGTCTTTGCAAAAATAACCCTCTCTCTTCACGCCGCAGGCAAGCTGAGGAAGCCCTGTTGACACAGGCGCTTACATTAGATTTGTTTACTGGAAACTTCCAATTTTTAGAGCAGAAAACAACACAAAGTGTGCTGAGAGGGGAGCAGCGTGTGTAGTTTGCAAGCTGGAAGAATGGGTATTACTGACAGCAAAACTATCAAAACCTCCTGGGCTTTGCAGAACTTCTGTACTTTGAAAAAGTGCAATCTAGCACCCTTTGGAGCAGACTACTGTGGTTCAGAACTGCGGACTGCCATGACAAGTCCGAGTGCCAGGCTACGGTAGCATGCCTTGGAGAAGGGAAGGTTCCCAGCTCAGTCAGAGAAATTTCTCCCAAAACTTCCCTTGACTTGCTGGCAGACAGCTGCATGGAGCCCCAGGTGTCCTTAAAAAATTCTCCAATACATTGCTCATCACTCCCCTCATGAAGGCTCAGTAGATTTTCAGTCATTGTGGAGACACCAGAAGCAGTCCCACCATAAAGGCTGCCCTGTGAGGTGGGCTCAGGCTGAATGCCTGTACCTGTTTTCAAGTATTGTAATTGCCCAGCTGGAGTTAAACTTCACACAGTCTAAGTTTTTATGCCTCCTTTTTTTTTTTTTTTTTCCCTTCATTTTTTTAGTTTTTTTTCTAGTGAGGCTATTGTCTAATCCTTTGACCTCTTGCATTAGGTCTGTGTAAAACTGCACTCTTCCAAAACAGCAAACCACTACCCTAACGATCCACAATTACCAGTGTTAACAGGGGTTTATAGAAAAATCATCAGGGTTTTTTTTGAAGCAGTGACAGGGAGACAGAATTCTGCCCTTGTGATGGCAGTGGTTGTGGTGACTGTAGGAGATGTCCTGGTGGGTGAGCAAGTGGCAGGCGTGTATTTCAAGAGGCTGTATTTGCATTTCCTGCCCCTTGTAAGCTTGTCCGGCGTGCTGGGACCGAGTCTCGGCTTGTGGAAATGATTACAAGGCAATTTATACCAAACAACAATCCCTACTGTTGTGTTTGTTACAAACTTGGCTGCAGTACAGTAATGTTTAGTGGATTAATAATGTCTGCTTTTGGCCTCTCCTACTCCCTCAGCAAACAATTTTCATGTATAATAAATGTTCTCATTTAGTCTAACTAGAACAGAGCCCAAGGGTCAGAATAGCCATAGCTGCACACTGAAAAGACTCTGGGTTTCCAGATGAGAGATCAGCTTTCTCCCCTCTCCATGCCAGGGTCCAAGACTTGCAGGATCAGCTTTGCTGGGCAGGTCCCCCTGAAACCACAGACGGGCAGCGCCAGATTTCCCCTTCCACAGGACAAGGTCTGTTCAGTCAAAAGGGTCACCGTGGGCAGCAAAGACAGCACAGAGTCACTGGGACAGGCAGGTATTTGTTGAGCGTTTGGCATTTTGAAAAAAACCCAGCACATTTTAAAATTAAAAACTCTAAGAATATATATAGATATAATATACAAAAAAAAATATTTCACACCAATGATTGATTACAATGCATGCTGTGAGGGCATATGAGATCAAGTAAGTGGCATATGGTCTTCCCTTTGCACGGGAAGCCTGAGAGTTACAAACTCTTTAAAAATCTGTATGGTTTATCTTGTTGATTATCAGCCTCTTTCGGGAAACAGAGTCTGCCCATGTTTCATAATGTGTGTAGTAGAAATACCAGGCTATGCAAATATGGAAGTTACACAACAAAAGCAAAACTGAATTAAATCTGTTTACAGTCAAAAAATGAGGGAACAGGAACTGCAGCCTTTTTATTGCTAAGCCACTGAAATGAGCGTGCACAACCTGGCTATTTAGGTGTTTGTAATGTTGTATGGTACAACCGTTTCTCTCCATCTTCCCACTGCTGTTTAAGCCTCCTCAGTAACAGCTAAAATGGAGGCTACCAATCTTGGGTATAACGAAAGAGAAATGTTGTAAGTAGTCTTGTGAAGCTTTATGACAGCTATCGTTTGATCAAATAATTAAGAATAGCAATTAGCACTTAAAGTTAAATGAAGGACTGTTGACTTTTAGCCTGGAGAGCAGGGCTGTGGCAACACTTCTGTGACAGCTGGTGGATGGAGACTCTTTGCTATTGAACTCTGTGACCCAAATGCTGTGGCTGAGCATCTACCATAAGAAATACAGGTTGTGTCACAGGTCCAGGTGCCCTCTGATGCACCATGGTGATCCTCACCAGTACTGCAGATTTCTCACCATTCCTGTACACTGAGGTCATGCATATGCAAAGCTATGGGCAGGACGTAAGAGTTCAGTCAGGCAGGTTGGGTTAGTGTCTGCCATGAAAAGGTGGGCAAGAGAAATTATTTTATCTTGGCTTATCTGAGTGATGTCCTAGCATCCCACTGCTCAGCATTCTGTGTCACTGGCAATTTTCACTGCCACAAATAGGTGTTGCTTGACCACAGCTAGTAAAACAACGAAAACTATATACATAAACCAATTTGACAAACATCAGAGAAAAAACATTATCAGGCAAATTATTTATCAATGTTATTGGGTCATACACAGGGAAGATAAAAAGACCTATTTTGTGCAGAATATCTAAGCTATCTACATTATTTTCACAGAGCTATGAGACTCGGGTTTGACTTCAATCTAGATCGACTAAATATGAAATCTACTCCTGCACAATTCTTCTCATTAAGCAGGCCAGATGATACATTCTTTTTATATCTTCAAGAAGTACGCACAAACGTTTTCTGAAATTGATTTGTTTGGTACTTTATACACTTTGTTGTGTGGTTGATTTTTCAGGGCAAAAGGCAAAGGGAATCTTTGACAACTTCTTGCAGTTGTGGGGCATTTCTTTATATCTGCTGCCTTTTAAGACACTGTTGTGGAGAATCAGTGTATGGACTATGAACACAGCAAAACAGGAATATTAATGCAACAGCCAAATCTTCAGACTGGAGTTTATATTAGTAATTCAGAAAAAAAAAATACAGCTGAGATTTAGGATCATATGAAATACAGATACACGTTTGAAATCTGAACCCAAGAGTGTATCAGGATTTTGCAGGTTAGCTTTGTCTTTATAGCAAGTCCATGCAAACTTCAGGTCCCAAACCTGAGACTGGAAGTAATGAAAATTAACAGCCACGTTTCTTGTAGTGTGAAAATATAGGTGTAATAACATATTCCTTCAAATATTTTCTTCTCTTTTCTTTTTAATTTTTTTTCCTAATTGTCTCTATTTTACCTTTGGCAGCTATAAAACATTGTAACCAACCACAAATAGCTATAAAGATGGAAGAGGGAGGCTGTAAACACACCATTTTTGCTCTTAATTTATTTTGCTTATTTATATTTTGGACATGTTTATTTGTTTATAAGATTGCTGTACATGAATAAAAACACTAGAAATACTCCCAAGCTATTGGTTACAAATGATCTAAAGCTCATTTCTTCTCTAAAGATGAATCATGTAAAAATGAAGCCTTTCTGTCCACAGATCAACTCATCTCCCTGTCTGTATCCAATTAAGTCAGCTCTTTAAGAGACTCAGCCTAAACTGAGCAGAAATGCTGTGATTGATGTCAACAGTGCCTGGAATGTGGGGCAATTTTGAAGCATTTTGGGGTACTTTTCTCTTGCTTTGTCCTGCCCTGACAGCCTAGCTAACGAGACCGGTTCCTCGTGTCCCATGTCTGGCATCACTCACAAGTTCCCTTGGGGACGCCTGTGCACGGTCGCTCACAGCGATGTGCTTTGCTGTAGCCTTGTGCAGCAGCATCCCAGCCTGGCGCTGATGGTGAGAGGAGCCAGGGAGAGAGCAGAGTGTGGCTCAGCACACACAGGGTCTGCTGGTCCATCACCCAGAGATAAACAGCCATAATTCACCTGCAAAACGCCTGCTTTCATAGCTAATGAGGTGAAGGTCTAACACATCTGGCAACTCACAGGGCCATTCTTCAGAGTGAAAATATGGTTTAAGGGAGGTATTTCCTACACTTTCTGTGTAATGAGGGGCTGTACTCTTTGGGAGGAATGGTTCGTTATATCAATGTGGAAGCATCGGTGCAGCTGTTGTAGTGGATTATCAAATGCCTGAAGGCTTTGTAGATGTGTTCGTTCTGTGTACAGATGAACCCACCACTTCTCCAAGCTTGCTCAGCAGCACGGTTTAAGTCTCCAATGCAGGTCCACTGATCTTCATATTTCCTTGCAACAGCCCATTTGGAATGATCGTTAATGGAATAGAAGGTGAAATTCAATGGCATCCCTATTAGGTCTATGTTGTAGACGTGGTAGTCGAGAGAGCAATTTGAAGGAAGTTTTTGGCGGGAATGCTGCCAGGATTCAGCCAACAAATCAGTTTTCAGTTCCTGGGCCATCCAGGCCACGTAGATATCTGTGGAATAACACAGGTTGTGGGAAATTAGTCCTACACTTTCTTTCATTTAAGAGGTGACTGAAAAGCATCACTTAAACTGGGCTCATTTCATTCAAATGCATAAAGTGAGTCAGTGAGAATTTCGCCCCCTGTCCTTATTTTGACTTTTGTTTCAGAAGTTAGTTTCTGCTTCTACTCCTCCTGCAAAACTGTTACAAACAATTAGCAGGAAAAGAAAGGAAAAAAATTTCAAGCCTTCATAATAATAATAATAATAATAATAATAATAATAATAATAATAATAAAGCAGATGATTCAAAGCCCATTTTTGTTCTTTGTTGTTAATGTTGAATAACAGAAAATAAATTTTCTGAAATTCACAATGTTGAACACCTTAAGGGATCTAAAGGACCAGACAGCTTTTTGCTTTGTGGGGCTGAGAGAATATTATGATGGGACACCATTCCTTGCCCTCTGTTACCTTTATTTCTGAAGTTGAACTTCTTTTTTTCCTTCAAATAAAATACTGATTGCCAAATAATATATTAATTGCTTATTTCTTGCTTGAGAATGTGTGATAGAGCAACAGCTACTCTTACCATCTATGAACAAGTGTGACTTTGCAAAGTGGAGAAAGGTTTCCCCGTGAGCTGACTGGAGCTTGGAGAGGTGGCGCAAGGGGACTGAGGGCAGCGTGGACCCTGCACAGAGCTTCTCCAGATTTGGGAGGTCAGCTTGGAAGATGTTAGGGATGGAACAGCTGTAGATTCCTGGATTATTACTCAGCATCTGTTGGTCTGAGAAAAACCCAAAGAAATGAACACATGCAGTATTAAAATAGGTTAAAGTGAAGAGAGAACAAAGTTCTGCCTTGGAAAGGACACCTAAATCCTTCTTAGTCTTCACAGCCTATCTCCTGGAGGAGTTCAGTGTCGCAGTATCTTATTTTAGCAGCCAAAAACCATGTTTAGTTGCTTTGTATTCTAACTGGTCCTGTAGCACGTAGACTGGCTGGGAGAGTACGCTCAGGCTTTTCTATTTACACTTCATTATTCTTAGCAGAACTGTTAACCAGTGGTCTTGGTACACTGCCACTTCCACCCATGTTCATCTTCAAGCCTCTAAGCAGTCACACAGCCCTCAGACAGCATGTGTAAATCCAATCCTGTCCGTATTTACAGGAGTAGTTTCCAGCCAGTTACCGTTGCCAAGCCAAATGCAAACAGGGTTGCTGCCAAAGGGTCTAGTTTGGTTTTAGGGAGAACAGAGCTTGACTTTCAGTGTCTAGATTGAATATGCAGAAGAAAGTTGCTTTTCTGTACAGTGCACAGCTTAACTGTAGAATTCCTTGTGATGGATATTGTAAAGAGCAAGGCAACAAATGGGCTCATTAGATGAGTTCATGGAAGACCAGTCCATCAGGAACTTTCCAGTCTTTCCGGCTCAGGAAATCCCTGAACCACAGATTACCAGAAACTGGGAGGATGGACCAGGAAAAGCATTAGTGTAAGTGTCTCATTTCCTTGTCTTCTTTTCCTAAACACGTGCATAGATGCACTTCCACAAACAGGAACCTGGTTTAGATAGCTCTGGGTATGGCTAGGCTCGCTATTTGCTCAGCTTATGTGTATTGTTAATATCATTTGAGGTTTGTAACTGAGAAAAGAGTAAAAAACAGTGTGAAAAGCATTAAGAAACATGAAGCATGACTTGTTGTCATACTTAAGAAGTATGACTTCTTGTAACACCTTTTGATAGTCCCTTTCAGGATTCCAGTACCAGATATCAACTCTCAGATTGCTCTGAATCTTACAGGTATAGATTTGGGGTTTTAGTATTTGAATTTTTTGTGACAAAATACCTGGGTAAATTCTGGGTGATATGTCCTCCATACTTCATATTTCTGATGAGTCAAGGCTACTACTCAGACTCAAGCAGTGGTTGCCTCACATTTTTAGAACTGCAGATGATTGCAGCTGAACAAGCTATTAGTGTTAAAAATGATTAATCATCCTACTTCATATTTCCAAAGCATATTGTATGCATGGACTGAGTCTATTCTCGATCTGCACTTGTGACTATTATTATCCCTAGTCCCCACAGGGAGATGGAGACAGAGTGGAAGAGTGAATTTCCCACATTCAAACAGGAAATCATTGGATAAACATAACTGAGGCCAAGAATGCTGTTTCCAAGCCCCGCTTGGTTTCTGAATTTGACAGTGAAGGTCAAGAATAAGCAATTTTTGAGGTGAAGCCTCAAGGAAAGCAGTCAGAGAGGTGCGGTGGGGCAAAGGCTTTCTTAGGGAGAAAATTGTCATACCTATTTCTGTGAACTGGTCATATTTGAAGGTTATACAGATGGCTGTCTGTCCATAGGACTCCCCAGTGGCTGGATACCCATAACCATCCTCAGGGATGGGAGGGAACAGGGGCACACTGTGAATCACCCAGAAGCCTTGTGATTTGTCCAAGAGCAGAAAACCTGTCAAAAAAAAAAAAAAAAAAAAAAAGAAAATTCAAAACTTTTCTCTTTCTCTGCTCAAATTTTATCTTTAAAAAGCCTGATGATTTAGTGGCTGTGACCCTCTCTCCACTACTCATTTTCCTCCCCTTCATATGTTCTCTGCGTAAGTGGAAACAGATTCCGTCAATGCCGTGTTTTCTTCCCCAGACAAATTCTCCTCCGCAGGGAAGCAGCAGACAGGCTGTGCCTCCCTCTGCAGCGGAGTGCTCCAGGGAGGAGCACAGCTCCCAAGCCGTCCCCATTGCTGCAGCCTGAAAACACAGCCCTCCCAAATGTGGTCATCTCAGAGTCAGGCTGGGCAAACCCCATCTGCTTCCTCAGCGGAACTCCACTGACGTTTATGCTTATTTAAAGTCTTGCTTTACTTCAGCTGCATGCTTTAGCACTTCCGTGATCTTGGCAGCAGCTTCTTGCCCCAGAGAGAGAGAGAGTTTGGAGGGGTTTAGGGTGCCTTTCACTTTGTGTTTTGTACTGCTGTTGCTATTAGGCTCAGGTCAATGTGTTCTGCACTCACTGAAAGGAGCTATATAACTTTTAACTCTTGAAAACAAAGGGCCCATGAGCCCTAAGAGTTCTTCAACATAGCACAGGCATAGCAAAACCAAAACAGAAGCTGCAGCATATATAACTATACAACAAACCACGCATGATGCAAATCATTCTCCAGTCTTGCTTTAGGCAGGAATTTTAGATATGCAGATAGACAGACAAGTAGATGCTATCCACAGCTTTAGAAAGGAGAAAATAATAACTTGGAACTCTCCTTGTACCTTTGGTGTGTCCTCTTTTCCACCCACTGGAGTCTGGTTCAGGGACCTCATCATTGTATATCGCATATGCAATGCTGTTCCTCTGCAGAAAAACACACATTTGTGAAACATGGCATTCAGTAAACTGAAAGCATTCAAGCAGACTTCTGCTGGGAACAGAAAAAATAATTCAGGACTTTTCTGTGTGAACATCATGAGCCTAATCCTTCTCCCAATTCAGCTGGCACAGTCTCCACAGAAGTTACAGTAGAATAAACCTGAAGACTCAGCATTAGGGTCTCAGTTAATATAAAGTGGAAATTCTCTCAATCATTGCAGTTGCCCTTCCTCAAGAGGCTAAATATACTCACTAAGACAATTTACATGGGTTTATTGGGCACTTGTTTGCAAAGAAGTTCCCCCCTCTTTCTTTTGTGCCTCTCCGATTTAGCAGCCAGATCAGGTGAAAATGTTTGCTGAGGAAAATAGACGTGACAAGTGTTCTTATGAAGGATAAGCAATTAATGCATTTTAGCAAAATGTTTGCATATGGCCACACCTTATTCCCTCTGAATAGAGAACTTCAAAGGAGTCGGGACATGCTTCCCCTCCCGATGTACTTTGAATTTGTAAGCAGTTTATTACGATTACAGTGAGACCTGGAATAGGACAATTGACCAGAACAGGACAGTTGACCAGATTGCCAATATCTGACTGACTGTGGGAATCTCTTCTACATCGACATTAATGACACCCTACCACCACTAACCCACAGCAAAAATGCAGACACACCCAGACTCCTGAGAATACTATGTAGATGGTAACAAAATAACTATAGGCAGATCTTGTGGTATTTTATAATCACTTCACACAAGTATAAATGAGGTGTCTGACTGCGCGGGAAAAAAAGGCCTAACAAGCAGCATATCACTGCTGAAGCAGTCACAGTGATTTCAGGGAGAAGAGCAAAACCCAGGTTTGATTTGAGACTGAGCATGAAACACATGCACATGAGAGGACTTAGGACAAGTGTCTGTAATAGTCACCACTGGCCCGGGTCTGAGTTCACAGCCAGTTCACAGCTTCAGATGTTGCTCAACATGAATTGCAGAGAAAAAGCCAAAGGAACTATGTACCAATGCTCATTTTTGTTGATGGGCAATACTTGAAGTGTGTGATAGGCTTGACTAGAAATTGGAAGTTCAAGGGTAATTTCTAATTGTAGCCAAAACTGCAAATAAACTGCCCAGCGGTCAAGACACTCCCCTTAATGTGTTTTAGTAGATCTAGTTGGTCAGGTCTGGCCATACCTCTATGTGCTTATTTTGGCTGGTTTCATTTCATTTTCATGTAATATCAAGTAAGTGCACTAATAAAACGCTAATTAAATGTCACTTGCCTCAGATTCATACATCTCGTACAGCTGCTTCAGTGTTTGTCCCAGAGCACCCTGTGTCATGTTGACGAGGTATTTACCGAGCTGCCACTGCGGAGCCAGGGTGTCCATGTACAGGTATTCCAGGCCCAGCAAGGGACTCTCTCCTTTGGCATGTTTTGGCAACTTGTAAAGAGCAAACCTGTGACAGTGAAGAGCACTTGTTTTTTACAGCCATCCTGTTTGAATGTGTAAATCAGTATGTCCTTCCCACCTGAGGATTTAAGAGCAGGGTGACTCCAGGGCTGCCCATGCTGCTATGCTGGAGGGGAACCAGTGCCACCAGCCTATGGTGTGGACATCTCTCAGCCTTGAGGAGGTGACCCAGTGCAGGAACCAGCAGCACTTTGGCAGTGCAATACATGCTGCAGACAAATTTGTTCTGCTTCTTAGCAAGCAACAGAAGATGATTTGACCTGTTGCTGTGACCAGATTGCTGTTGGTACCCCGAAAGAATTTGAGGTGGCCCTGATTTGGAGTCCTGTTTAGCAACTAAATCCCTATTGCTCCTGATTCTCGTAGAGAACTTCAGGTCACAAACTCAGTCTGATATTCTCATGATCAACCTGGACACCTCTTACCAATATATTTTTATATTATACAAATATAACTTTATATGAAATAGATAAAATTATGTATTAAAATTATAAAAATGCATAATGTTACATTTATACATATTAAAACCACAAATTACGTATAAAGCCACATGACAATGTTGTTCCAATCTTACTTTTGATAACAGACTCACACTCTGCTGAACTGTTGCAGACTGGATATTTGCAAACCATTAGCCAGAGAGACAAATCTTTTCAAAATTGTAGAGTACTCAATATTGTCAGTAAATGGCTCAGTTCACATTAATGTCCCTGATGAAGTAAACAGGTTTTCCCAGTGCACAAGTCCATGGGATTAATTGCAATATAATTAATTGAGCCACTTTCATTGAGTGCTGTACTTGAGTAATTTGTTATTTATGTCAATAGTAAGTAAGAACTGAGCAGCATTATCTTCAGTCCTATACTATTTACCAAAAATGCAGCCTGACTGTTCTTAACCCTTCAAATATGTCAGGAGGAGCAAGCCTTTCCCCATTGATTTATAATCTCAAATTAGTCAAAACTAGCATCTCTGAAAGCAGGTAAGAAGTGGCAGAAAAGCATTTTGCTAGAGGAACATTTAATCCATGGGAAATGTACATATATGGAGAGGGAGAGGGAGAGGGAGAGGG